CTTGCGACATGCATAGACCATCTTGCCTCGATGACATTCTGACTAAACATCGATTCTTCGTAGTCATGAACTCCGAGTCGCAGCGGCTCAGATTCGATGGCGCGTCCAGACATGGTAGGCTACGTCATGATTCTGTCATCCCATCCGCGTGCGAAATGGTCAAAGATGCTTGCCAGGCGCTCAGAATGATAGCTCTCCAAGAGGCCTGCGAATCGGACCGAAACATAGCTCATCCTTACGTCGATTCAATTGTATGGCCCTCGAGGGTTTGCGCTTCAGCACTTGTCATCAGCCTACGTGCCTCAGACTCGCGACTCGCGACTCTCGACTCTTTCGCTCTGATTCGAACGCGCGACCTCTTCTGCCATCCATCGAGGTGGATGTAGACAGTCAAAGGGTGTGTGGATGACCACCGTAAACGCACATTCTTGATTCCTGATTTGGCTCTTGACCCCATTCAGAGATCCTCCAAGTCACGTGCTGATCTCCGAGTCACCGCCATGCGGTGTAGGAAGATGGAAATTCCGACGAGGCTGTGTGCGTAATGTATTCCACGTATGCAACACCGCTGTGGATCGAGAAGAATGCGTGATTGCAACGACCGATCGAGGTCGCTGCACTCGCCTCTCTGAATCACAATGCTTCAGACCGCGCTTGCCATTACAGCACAGCCAGCCCGCCGCACCTGGTTGATGCTCATGCCGAGAACGTCATCTGTCGCGCCCAGCCAGCCAGCCAGCCGCGCAGTGCTCGTGCTCGTGGGCGTGCTGATCACGAATGACATCGAGATTGCGATGCTTGGCAGTAGAGTCGCTGGGACAGCTGTCGATCAATTCAAGAGTCTGACCGAGTCACGACTCGATGGCGATGACAAAAGCCTCGGCCCAGACTGAGAGCAGAACAGCGGACCGTTGCTTGCGTGCGTGCGTACCGTACTGCAGCATCCGCGCGGCGCGGTTCGAGAGCCGCGATGGATGCTTTATGCGATAAAAGCAGCAGGCCTTCCCGCCTCCGCCTCCGCCGCGCCGCGCCGC